AATTTCATATATATATGGCTAGGTCCCCTATCTTCTCTATATGTTTTTGGCTTACCCCATTGACGGTCGATTATTTTGAGGAGTAAGGAGAGAAATATCCAGTTGGGAATATTCATGCATAACAATATCTTCCACATGTATGAATTTCTTACTGTTAATTAATATATGTGATTCTTGTTCTTAACATGATTATTGAATTATTACAACAAATTGGTATCAGAGAGGCATGCTAGGATTAGAATCCATTAAACAATTAAACAAACATAAAAACGTAACTGAAATTAATAGAAAACCTAGGCAGTATGTGTACATATGTAATATGCCTATTGTCTCCTTCTGTCTCGCGCATATTTTTGTCACCAAATTAATTGATGAAATCTCGCATCTCTGTCTGTGTGCATATATGTTTACAATCACCACCAAGATAATAAAATCAGCTAGTCTCTTCTCCCTTGGAATTGCATTGTTGTGCAATTTTTCACTTTTTAAATGATGTGGGATTACATGCGATTATTGCAATAATTTATTGCTCAGGCCAGATATGATCTTTGTAATCAAATTATGTTTTTTACTAGACAAATTTGCTTCCCCTTTATTCATCTCGCAATTCAGCCCATTCACATAGACATCTTCCACATAGACAAATATGAAACCTTGTTCTTCTTCTTCTGGGTTTTCTGTTTTGTATGTGCGTATGTATATATGTTTGTATAATTGTATTGTGCATACCAAAATTAAAAACAAAATCAGACTCTATATCTCATTCTTTTTCCCCAAAACTGCAGCTTTCGAGATCTGTATATATGGTTTGTGTATGAATTTGGTATAAATTGCAATATGGTTGTGATTTTGATTTTGGTATTGATGACCCGTGAGCCTTAATTTATTTCATTAATTTGCATTGCAAATTGATCCGAAATTCAACCAAATGGAATTTGCTTAATTTTTATAAATTTATCCGAGTGAGATGGCCGCTGCCCGTTTGGGGCTGAAGCCTCGACTCCTGTAGATAGCAGTTGGCGCTGCAGTTTGGGCTACAAATGCGCCGCTGCCGCATCTGCAGCAGCCGGCTGCCATGCGATACAGCTTGCCACCGGCTGCTAATCACAGTAACGCAGTCGCCGATCACCGTGGCTGCATGGATATGGATTAGGGCGGCTGTGGCAAGAGGAAAGAGAGGATTAGTCTAGAGTTTTACCAAGAGTTTTCTATTGATTTGGGGACGGGCCTCTTTGCAAATTTTGATTCTTTAGGGGATTACGTGCAATTATGAAAAATAAGTCTTTTCTTGCAAATAATAATCAAGGGCTTCTCATGCAATTTGTGGATTTTTGGGACTTCCCCTGCTATTTTACTAGGGGTCAATCTGTAATTTAAGGATAAGGAC